TTGATTGAAATTATTGTAAAGGATCACTTTATCTATTTTTTTTCATAATTTTTTTCTTTGTTTTATTAATAAAAAATATTTTAAATATAAATTTTCATAAATAATCAGAATCAAGCAATGCATCCACTTCAGGCAGGACTTTATAAATTTCAGCAGAATCAATCGATTCAACCAATTTCAGTATTACCAAACAGGAGCTACATTATATCATATTATATCATATTCCATCGTAATCCATCATATTACTTCATATCATATCATAATAACACATCGCATCATGTCATATCATATCATATCGTATCATATCGTATCGTATTGTATCGTACTGTACCGTACCGTACCATACCATAGATGCCATACCATACCATATCATATCACATCATGTATATTATATTACATTACACTACACTATATTATATATATCAATGCACATATGTATATATGTGTGTGTCTATACATGTATAGAGTTATTTTGAATATTTTAATGTTAAATTGTATTTTAAATCATGTAAAATAAACATGTGCTTAATGTTTATATTATGTATTTCTTACTAACACATGTCTTAATAATCACCATTTCATAATCTATGAAGTAAACATGTCTTAAGAGATTTGATAAAGACCAAACTCTTATCCATCATATCATTTTTTATTGTTCCAATTTTTATTTAAATTGTTATACCCTCTTCATCCTTTATTGCATCATTTTCCTCATCATTGTTCTTCTCGAATGCAATAATAATACTCCGTAATGTTCATTGAAAAAAGATTGGGGTACACACTTTTTGTACACAAAAAGTGTACATTTGTCTGTCCTCAACAGACAAGTTGTCTGTCACGAGATGAGTTGTCTGTGGGACAGACAACTCATCTCGTGATAGACAATTTGTCTGTGGGGGACAGACAAGTGTACACTTTTTGTGTACAAAAAGTGTGTACCCCTAGCTCCACCCATGTTCATTTAGTACCACGTCAACCCCCTTTTCAATTAAAAAGGATGACATGTATGTTTACCTGCCCTCCGGTTCCTCGACATCATTAATTTTTTTTATCAGAACAAGCCTTATCATGCTCAATTTCTTCTTTGTTCAAGTCTACTGCTTACGTAATCCAAAAATTAACAAGTACACTGAGATGCATTACTATTACTTTCTTCCGACATCTCAAAATGGGGTTGGGGATTCACATTAATATTACTTTTTTTTTTGCTAATTAACATCACTTTTTACCAAACTATTCATCATATCATTCCTTAATATTTCATTTTTAATATAATTTTTATACCATCTTCACCATTTATTGCATCATTTTCCTCTTCATTGTTCTCTTCTTCGGAAATAATGCTCGAACAAGAAGATGGACATGGGATGGATTGGACAAGACAACAACATGAATTTTCTTTTGACACATAGCGGGTTGTAAATGTTGTGATGTTCCCGATAGAAGCTGAAGCGATTGGGGTCAGGGATGCGATTCTTTGGGCAAAAGAGGTTGGGTGAAGCAAAATAATGATTGAGACGGACACAAATTTGGTCCTATTGGACTTACAAGGGGAAGATTGTGATTCTCAAGTGGGCATCATTTTTTAGGATATTAAATTTTTGATAAATTAAAATACTAATGTAAAAGTCCAATGGTGTAAGTGATCAGCGAATCAAGTTGTTCACGCATTAGCTAGAACGACGGTTTTCATGTCTGGAAGCAATGTTAGTTTTTCTTAGCCTCCTAACTTTATTGCAAGCCGGTTGGCTAATGATCAATTAATTTTATTTGGTGATTTACCTTAAAAACCTTGTTAAACCCTTTTTCTTTTAAAAGGATGCTTTGTATAATTAAATATTAAACAACTTTCATGTCCTTACTCCCTTTTATTTTGCCATCAATATTCTATTTATCAGATTCATCCTTATCATGCACTGATTCTTCATTATTATTCTCTCCTACTTTCATTTACCTAAAAAAGAATCATTAAACACATCATAATAGTATTTAATTTAATTATATTTAAGAATGGAAAAGACTACACTTTCTGCGTCATTTTAATCTTTATCTTTCTCCTCTACACTGTTTAATACGAATAATTTCTAAATACACCTTTGACGGATCCTTTTGCAATTTAATTGCCATAAATTAAAGGATAAATTACTATTTTCTGAAGAGTTAATCAGGTAAAAAAATTTGTTTTTCGTACTCCATTATATGTCACCTTAGTTCGTCCAGAGATTATAAAAATATTATTATCTTCAAAATTAAAAAAAGAGTAAGATGTATGGAAAGTGAAATGATTGATAAAGACATCAATTGGGAAAATAAAAAGTTAATGGAGTTGTTGCTCCTAGTTTTGGGATAACCAAAAAAATAAAGTATATCTTCACAAAATGAGATAGTGAGTAATAAATGTGGAGTCATAACTTAAGTGGAAAAAATTGGAATGCGAAAGATACTACCTCCGTCCCATAATGGTAGTCTCATTTGAATTTGACACGATTATTAATAAAATGGTTGAAAAGTAAAAATTGTAGTTGAGATTTGAGTAGAATGAAGTGAAATGTTGTAGATCACATATTGTTTTAAAAACATTAAAGTAACACAGAGAAAGAGTAGCTAGAAAAGATAAGAAAAGTGAAGTAAAAAAGGTAAGATAAAAAATATACGTAGTAAAAGTGGAATAAAAAGATAAGTAAGAGTTATCAAATATGAAGATTTATGGAAAGGAGACAAATAATAAAAGACTTCCCAATATGAGACAAGTAACAAGTAAAGAACGACAGAGTTATAAGAAATACCAAATATGACACAAATAATACTGCTCAGCTTTTAATAGACAAAAATATGACCAAAATTAGTTTGGACAAAAAAAAGGAGTAACCATCCGCTCGCTCCGCTGATCCGCTCTTCTCTGCGCTTCCTTGCGTTAGGTTGAAGGCTTCTCCAGACAAACCACCATCTTCTTCTTCTCAAATAAACCTCTGCTTCTTCATTCCTCCTGCGCACGAACCCTAGGGACGAGAAGGCGGCGCACAGAGCAGCTTCAATCTCCTTCGCATCTCATCATTCTCCATCTCCTCCGCCTATGAGCTCTGCTGCCGCCATGGATGAAGCCACCGCCTCGAGCTCTGCTGCTGCCCATCCCGTCGCCTCGCCTCCACTCATATCTTCTTCTCCTTTCTTCTTAATCGGCCGGATCCCTATCTTATCTGAAGGTCAGATCTCGATCGAGGCAAATCTTAAAGAAGGTTATAAAATCAGAGGAATAAAACCGCTCCCAGCAACGTCAAATATGAGCAGGGTCGACCGGAGGTGGAGACGACGGCTACACCTTCGTTGACGGCTAGGATTTTTGGGTAGGGTGGGCGGTGGTGTATGGTCTCTGGGGCTGGGCTGGTGGGGGTTGGAGAGGGGCTCCGGAGGTTGGCCGCTAGAGTAGGGCTTGGCTGGTGGGGTCTGGGGAGCTAGCGGCTTAGGTGGTATGGCCGGCTGCTGGTGGAGTTGCCGCTATGAGAGTGGGGGTAGATTGCCGGTGATGGTGGGAGCTGGAGGGTGGGGCTGGAGAGAGGGCTGGGGGTGACGCATGAGGTTGGGGATGTGGTGTTGGCAGTGGTGCTCGCTGGCGGTGGCCGGAGGTGGTGGTTGACGGTGGTGGTCGCCGACGGTGGCCGGAGGTGTCGGTTGCGTTGGCGGCGACAATGGCTATAGCGGTAGGGGTGGTGGTTACAGTGACACAGGCAACCGGTTGCTACAGTGACACGGGCAGTGGCTACAGTGACACGAACGGTGGCTACAGTGACACAGACGATGGCTACAGTGACGCGGACGGTGACTACAGTGACATGAGCGGTGACTACAGAGACACAGGCGCTGGCTACAGTGACATGGGCGATGACAGCAATGACACCAGAGGTGGCGACAGTGACATTTAATAGTGTCATTTAAATTGGAATGTGACATTAAAGTCTTACAATGACATGAATATGACCTTCTTAGTCACATTTTTGTCTCATTGTTAATGTGGTCACATTTTTTCAAATTGTCTTCACTGTAATAGGTAAAAACTCATAAGAAATACGCAGTACTATCCTATGTTCTTAATAAATTAAAAATAATGCCGTTATTTAGAAGTATACACAAGTTGGACTTGGACATAGTATGTTGATAAGTTTATTATCTACTAATGATCCTTTTTACTCGTTTTTCGTTTGCCCATTTTCTATAACTTCGAAAAATAATCGAAAACAATGCAAAAGGGAGATAAGCATGGATACTTAATTGGGGTTGTGCTTAACAAATTAAACGTGCTTATACTTTTTACTGTGTACGCCTTCGTCCGCATGAAAACCTTGGAGAAATAAATGGAAAACCTCATTTCGCGTGATCATGTAATAGCTGTTTTCTTACTTGGTTGAGTCTAAGGATCTTTTTACTTGGACCGGGTCCCAAACTATATCAAACCAGATCAAATCAGAACAGACCAAACCAGACCAGTTCAGAGCAAATTTGAAGTCTTGAATAGTTATAAAAATACAAGGAGACCAGACCGGTTCAGACCAGATCAAACCAGTAAATTGCAGTCCAAGTAAAAACATCCTAAAAGTTACTGGTATCTTCTAATTGTAACTGAAATACTAGTATTATACTATAAGGCTTAGAGCATCTTCAATGCTACAATGTGCACGGTGCACATGTGACATGAAAATATTCACATAAATATTAGCAAATAAATTATCTTTTTCCTTATTTGAATGACTTTAGGCAATTTTGATAAGTTTTTCTCTGCAATGTCAACCACAATGTCAATATCTAGACAATATTCTTGACATTGTGAAAAAAAACATACTAAAGTTATATAAAATCATTCATATAAGGAGAAAGACAATTTATTTGTTAATATTTGTTTGACTATCTCTAATGCTACACTGTACATGTTATAACATGTACACTGTAGTATGTTATGCTATACACTATAACATGTACACTGTACATGTTATAGCATTGGAGATCTGCTAGAAATAGTGGCGGGTTTTACGAGAACTGTATTACAAACACTTCATAAAAATTGAAAACTTGTGTCAGGAGGAAGGAGAAAAAGCACCAAATACTTTAAGAACTCGACAAAGACTATACACAAATGAAGCAAAAATAAATAGCTGAATCCCAATCCCTCGCTTCTTATTATAGTAAGAGAGTGAAGTTCAGAGACAGAGAGTTTTTTCTTTTGAGAATAGAGACAGAGAGTTAGGTGTAGACAGAGAGAAGAACAAAAACTGGAAAAAATGGAGAATCATAACAATGACGATGATCTTCTTCATGTTGTGATGTTCCCATTCTTCGCATTTGGTCACATCAGCCCATTTGTTCAGCTTTCCAACAAGCTATCCCTTCACGGCGTCAAGATTTCCTTCTTCTCCGCCGCCGGAAACGCCCCCCGGGTTCAATCCATGCTCACTTCTTCACCTCCCAACACCCAGATTATCCCCCTCACTCTCCCCGCCGTCGACGGCCTTCCTCCGGGCGCAGAGAGCACCGCCGAATTGTCTCCGACCGCCGTCGAGCTCCTCAAGGTGGCTCTCAACCTCATGAAGCCGCAGATCAAATCCCTTCTCGTTCAACTCAAGCCCCACTTTGTGCTCTTCGATTTCGCCCATGACTGGCTGCCGCCGATGGCGGCGGATCTCGGGATCAAAACCATCTTTTACTCTGTTTTCATCGCTTTGTCCACCGCTTTCGCCACCGTCCCTGCTCGGCTCCCTGAACCCGGCAGAAAATCTCCCTCTCTTGAGGAAATGAAGAAACCCCCGCCGGGATTTCCGCAAACTCCGATCACTTCACTCAGAACCTTCGAGGCTCGAGATTTCCTGTACATTTTCATGAGCTTCGATGACAATCCCTCTGTTTATGATCGTGTTCTTGCAGGTCTGAACGGCTGCTCTGCAATTCTAGCAAAGACATGCTATGAAATGGAAGGTCCTTACATTGATTTCGTGAAATCCCAGTTCAAGAAACCTCTTCTTCTCGCCGGCCCGGTGGTCCCGGAGCCATCCTCCGGCGGCGATCTAGATGAGAAATGGGAGAAATGGTTGGCCCAATTCGAACCCAACTCCGTAATTTACTGCTCATTTGGGAGTGAGACGTTCTTGAAAGACGACCAGATCAAAGAACTGGCTCTCGGGTTGGAACTCACCGGACTTCCATTCTTTCTGGTGCTGAACATCCCCGCCTCCGTCGAGAAATCGCCGGAGCTGAAAAGGGTACTTCCGGAAGGATTCTCAGAGAGGGTTAAGGGAAGGGGGATCGTCCATTCAGGGTGGGTGCAGCAGCAGCAGATCCTAGCCCACACTAGCGTGGGGTGCTACGTCTGCCATGCCGGATTCAGCTCGGTGATTGAAGCTATGGTGAATGACTGTCAGCTGGTTATGCTTCCCCTGAGAGGCGACCAGTTCCTGAACGCTAAGCTGGTGGCGGCGGATCTGAAGGCCGGCGTGGAGGTGAATAGGAGAGATGAAGATGGGTATTTCTGGAAAGAGGATATTCAGGAAGCTGTGCAGAGAGCTATGGGGGAAGAAGGGACACTGACAAGGGAAAACCAGAAGAAGTGGAAAAAGTTTTTGGTTGATAAAGAGATTCAGAGTAAATTTATCAAGGACCTGGTCAAGGAAATGAGGTCAATGGCTGCCCTTGACTAAGATTGACTAAGATGTGTTTGGTTGAGGTATTATCATTACATTACCTTCATGTTCCATGCTTAATAAAAGATGGGGCTGTTAGAGTTTCATTGCAGCTACTTGCAGCTCTTACTAGCTAGTTTTGTTTGTGTGTATCTTAGAACTCATTAGTATGATATAAATTGCTTTTAAAATGGTAATCGCACTTTTGCTAGTCATTAGAAAATCAAAATGTTTGCTAAAATTGGGTGCAAGTTCAAATGTTGGGACTATAATATTTTTTGGATCAAAATGAGATTTTGTATCCACTGTTCTTTATGCATTCCTTTACCATAGACATCTTTTAACCTCCCCAAAACAAGGATCATGCTTCTTTTGAGGAAAACTTTATGCAAAATTGCAAATCATGTTACTCCGTATTATGCAATTTTAACATTGCAATGTAACTACTCCTACAGTCCTACTACATGTCAAGTTTAGTACTCCGTACATGTTTAAAGAGTCCCACTCATCTCCACTTCTTAGAGCATCTCTAACGCTAAAACGTTAACGGTGCATACGTGGCATGAGAGATAACCAATTAAAAAATAATAAATAAACTATATCTCTCCTTATTTGAAGGATCTTACATCATTTTGGTAAGTTTTTCTTCACAATGTCAAGCACATGTCCAGGTGTAGACATTGTGGTTGATATTGCAGAGAAAAACTTACCAAAAACACATAAGACTGTTGAAAGAATGAGAGAGAACTGTCATAAATCAATTTTGTGTGTGTGTATATCTCTCATGCCACATGTGCACCGTTAACGTTTTAGCATTGGAGATCTCTTGACCTTCATTCTCCATCCATTTCTTGTTTGCTTTCTCTCTATCTCTTTATCTATCTTACTCATCAAGATACTCTAACCTAATTCATATTTAATTGGAAATTGAGTCCTTAATTTGGAACATAAAAGTTATGCATGATTATTACTCCCTTCGTCTCATGAATCATAATAGAGACTTATTACTAACATTTTATTTTGCCAATTATTTTGAAAATAATACACTATCACAAGTATTTTTTTGAATTTATCCTTCATTCCACCACACTATTTCATTATTTTCTCATCATACTCTCAATAATTTATATCTCCTTTTTCTATTCTTAGAGCTCGTTTGTTAGCACAAAAATCGACTGATTTGGCTGATTTTGTTGAAATTTATGAAGTTCTGGATGAAGTGGCTACATTGGCTGATTCTACCGATTAAAAAAAATATTTCTAAAATATATTTTATTAATGAAATAAAGAAAAAATTATATGCAAAATAGCTAAAATGGTCATCTACAATAACTTCAGCCAATACAACCAGAAAGTAACTCCAACCTTAATTTTTCTGCTTATTACACAATTCAGCGCGCGAAAACAAAAGTTACGTGTTGGTGAAAAAGTTGACTGATAAGCCTGATAAACCGAAAAACAGTGTTGTCAAACGGCCTCTTCATCTCACATACTTTTAAGGTAGATTCTAGGGTACCCATAAAGTATCATACATTTGTCCACATGGACCAATCAGAATGCTGTAGTTGAATTATTTAAATCTAAATTAAAAATCATATCCTCATTTGGACTAATCAAATGAATGAAAGGTACGATACCTTTTTATTATCATGTTACGAGTATATAGTATGACAGTTCGTTAAGCAAAGAGACAAAGGGGATAAAGCATAAATGCATGAGTGACAGATGTCCATTATTTTGCTGAAAAAAACCTTGACTTCTACGAAGCATTTCATATCATACAACTCGATGCGTAGTACAGTACAATGTCTATCACGTGTCCTACTCACGGGCAGCATGCATTAGAGTAGTTAGCAGGGTGGACATAAAAACCGAACCAGTATCGAATTGGCCTGTAATGATAACGAACCGAATATCGGGTATTTAAACGGTTCTTTAGAATTTTAACCCGAACCGAAATCGTGTCGTTTCAAACGGGTAGAGGACCGGTCCTAGATTTAATTTTGAGAACCGAAAAATACCGGACCGAACCGTTCAAAAATAATGCCTTTATGATTTTATATTTTCCATACCAATAAACTTCTTTTAAAGACCAACAATTTTATAACCCAAGCATCTATCCATGCATCCATAAAATAGCTATGTGTGTGTTATATAAATATTGTTATTTTTTCCTTTTAGATAATTTATGTTACATTTGATATATAATGAAACAATGCTAATTTTTTTTTTTGAAAAAAGAATGCTAAAGTTTTAAAAGGAAAAATTGAAAATAATAATCCCAACTATTGACGGTCCGCTGATAATAATCCCAACTATTGATTATTTTTGCATAATCCCAACTATATGGACAGTCCGCCAATAATGGTCCATGACCAAATATTACACCCTCAAAAAGTGAATTTTAAATAGAAATCAAGTTTAAAAATTAAAAGTTGGGATTACTTATAGGGATTACTTGTTATATCTCTCCTCATCCACTTTAGAAACTACAAGAATTTATTTAAAGGGACCATTATTGGCGGAAGGTCCCTAAAGTTGGGATTATTCTGAAATAATCGATAGTTGGGATTATTATAAGCGGACCGACCATAGTTGGGATTATTGCTATCAATTTTTCCGTTTTAAAATCATTAATGACTATTAATTTCTAATAATGTGATGTATATGATTTCTTGTTGTATCATATTTGTGTAATTTTAAAACCTAATTAATATGGTCTGAATCTTAGCTCTTACGGTTCAATTATCAATTGAATTAGAACTAATATTCAACTTAGAACAAAGAAGAAAAAGATTAAAGTTTTCTATATATTCAACAATTTAATTATATCTTTTTTCACATGAATTTAATAAAGATGATATTATACTAGTGTATCATTATTTTGCTATACTTTTACTTAATTGTGTTCCACTATTTGAGTATTTGTGAATTTAAATACAAAAATGTCAACCTCTTGAATCTTTTCTAGTATTTTGTATGCAATTTCTCGTATTTTATCAAAATTTCATGTGAATTGGCCGATGTAATGATCAGGCCCGTGCCTTATGTTAGGCTGGAGAGGCCCAAGCCTCAGGGCCCTCAAAAAATGAAAAAATTAGGGGCCATAACTTTTTAAACATTACTATTATTATACCTATGTATTTTCCAAGGGCGTCGCCATTTGGGGCGGTTCCCGGTGTAATTTTTTGATGATTTTTTTGATAATCTTCTTCATCAAGTCTAATTTACTCATATCAAATTTCAGTAAAAAATTTAATCGGGAAGGCAATTAAATGAATTTTTGAAGATAACTGTGCAGTTAAACATCGCAGTATATTTCAGAAAATCATTTTACTGCCTTATTAGTTGAATTTTTAGCTGAAATTTGGTATGGATAAACTAGACTTAATGAAGAAGATGCTCAAAAACTTTCATCATAAAATTACACTGGAAACCACCCCAAATGGCGACGGTCAGACATAACCTCTTATCTAAGGGGATCGGTGATTTGCACTTTTTAAGTTAGTTCGAGGGCTGATTTGTAGAGAAAATTAATAGTACGGAGTATGTATTATTGAGGATTCCACTAAATTATGTATCTAAAACTGTTCGACAGGTTTTACTTAAGTATTTTTTTATTACATTCTTTGTCGTTGTGTGATAATGGAAGACTTTTAATGAAAGATTGCGTTTTTATGATTTTTTTTTAAAGGCGTCAATTTAGAAGCATTCTTTAACACCTTTTTTTTTTTGCAATTGAAGTGAATTTTATTGAATTAGTAAACAATACAGGCTGAAAAGGAAATAAAAGAAACAAAGCAAAAAAGTACAGAGAAAAGAAAGCCCAAAATTACACCCAAGGAAATTCTCTAGACTGAGATCTAGTCTTCATGCTGTGGCGCCTCTTATTCTTTTGAGATTTCCTGTATAATTTGATTTGCGTGTTTAAGTTATCCGTCGGCAAGCAATTTTCTGATGTGACAAAATTGGATTTTTTGCAAATCGTTCTATTGAATTTTGATTTCACGATTTCTGCCGGATTTGAGATAGGGGGACGGCGATCGCTTTCAGTTGCATGACCCAGAAAGTCGTCCATGAAAAAGGAGTCATCTGATTGGTAAAAGTTATCTGAAGCATCTGAGTATGCCTGAGCTAGCCTGTGTTGTTCCACTGGAATTGGAGACCATTGTTTCTGTGAGAATGCTCCCCTAATTTGACAATCAAAAATAAGTTTAGAAATTGATGTTGGCTCCTCTGAAATTAACGTGGTTCGTGGAAACCAATTCATAGGTTCCTCCTGTACTAAAATGAAACTCCAATTCATGTTTGAGACTCCAATAAAGTTAGAAAAGACCGCCAGGAATTGGATCAAGCTAGATCTTTTTGGGCCTGCAGGAATTAAAATGAAAGTTCCCTTATCTTTGGCAATCTTGATGAAGCTACTAGCTTTATTAAAATTTGAGGAGACTGAGATAGGTCCAAATCTTCTTAGTTGCTGATAGGAGAGGTCGGTTCCTGTTAGCTCATAAATATAACGGATGATTAGAGAAGCCAAATCAAGACTGAAAGTAATCTTGTGCAACTGAGATTTCTTGATTTCCAAAATTGTTATTTCACTGTTTGTGATTCCAAACTTAAAGGTTCTTGATTCTAATTTGATAGAGTCAAATCCTGCTTCTCCAAATAAGTGAAATTTTTCGGAATCCTGTGAAATGGCAGTAGTTTCTGTATGGGAGGTCACAATAATATTATTATTAACAGGTCTTGCGTGTGAGAGTAATGGTGCTGGGGCCCGACCGGTTTTAGCCTTGTCTCCCCGTAGAAGATCAGCCCATGTTCTGGTACCAGGGTCAAGCCTTATCACTGCATCTCTGTTAGCTGTAGCCGGTTTGGCATTATTAGACTGGGTTTTGGGATCCAGATTGCCATCCTTCCACAATGGATCTACCGACGCAGCCTTATCAGATACTCCTGTTCCGGTTAAAATTCCGGACGAAGGTGACATTGACGAGACTTGTTCAGAGACAGACCTCTCCACTCTGTTGGTTGCCCTGCTTGCGTGTTCCTTTCCAAGCGCTTCATCAGGTTGAGATCGATTTTGAGTCTCAGGCCTGCGGCGTACCTCAAATTGCTGATAATACGGGTCGATTATGTGGCTGAAGGGTTTTATGACTCGATTGTAGGGATGAGTCTGTTCTTGATTAGACTCTTGTGGGGGTGGGGGATAATAGGCATAGTCGTCTTCTGAATCTAGTAAGATGAAACGATTAGGATTTTTAACTAACCGGGTTGAGTCCGAGAATTGATGGGATGGTGTGATTCGTTGCCTGGTATATTGCCTGGAGCGCCTTCGTCTGTGGCTTACTGTGCTCCAATAGCCATCCGCTTCTTCTCCGTAGGAGGTGTGGAGTGGATGAAGACGAGTGACAACAGTTGATTGAGTTCTGGGGTGTAGCCGCGCTGCAGAGGTCGGATAATTGACCGGTCTTTCCCTCCGGTGGACGCCTGGGGTCGTGACTACTATTTCCGGATGGTAGCGTTGAGAATAGGAGTTGGTGTTGAAACGATGCGATTCAAATCTGCTTCTTGTGTTGTTGCTATTGTGTGTGTTGTAACAGGGACTAGCATACCGATGGGGAGGACGGCTGTAGTAGCGAGTCGGGAGGTCTGGTTGGGTGTAGTCCTGGGTCCTTTGAGAAGCTTTCCAGTAGGTGTAGTAGTCATCTCCCCTATACCTTGTCCTGTTCCCGTTGCTTTTACAGTAGCTAGCAATGTATCCTGGGGGTTGCTTTTGTATGTAGAACCTGTGTCCATGGGTGAAGGGATACGGAGTTCGGCGTTGTTGGTGCCGGAACTCCATTTCCGGAAGTCAATAAGCCGGAGTTGTAGAGAGAAGGGGGAGTTTCGCGTTCTTCATCGGGAAAGAGAGCACTCCGATTGCGTTTTTATGATATTTAACCATTCAATTTTAGTGAATTTATATGATAAACAAACACTACGTATGAGGCCCATTTTATGAAGCTCGACTCAGGTCTGAGTTTAGGTAAGACCGGCACTGGTAATGATATATACTAATTGCACGATTTGTCCAAATGTTTCGGCATGTGTTTGGCATTGTACCGAACCGTTTCGTACCGTTCCGAAACGATATGGTACCGAATGATTCCAACTTCAGAACCAGACAGTATCGAACCATTAGAAACCTCACAGATATATTACGAGTTTTTCTAATTTACCGGACCGTTCAGGTTAAATTATTAACATAAAAAATTGTGTAACATTTCCGAACTTTTTTTTTGAAAGAATATATTTCCGAACCTTATTCCTATTATTTTTTAAAATTAAAACATACTATATTAAAAACATGCAGAAGCAGGATTTAAGGTCAAGGGGGCGATTCCCCCGTTTATGTAGGTTGGGATGTGAAATTTCTGTTCGCTAGTGTAGGGCTCTGCAATTTTTTCTTTTCAAAATGTCATCACAAAGATAACATTTAAGAGGCCATTTGACAACATTGTTTTTCGGCTTATAAGGCTTATCAGTCAATGTTTTCACCAAACACGTAACTTTTGCTTTTGCATGTTGAATTGTGTAATAAGTAGAAAAAGTAAAGTTGTAGTTACTTTTCTGACTGTATTGGCTGAAGTTACTGTAGATGACCATTTTAGCTATTTTTACATAGAATTTTTTCTTTATTTTATCAATAAAACATTTTTTAATTTTTTTCTTCTTCTTAAATCAGCAGAATCAGCCAATGTAGTCACTTAATATAAGTTAGAACTTCATAAATTTCAGCATAATAAACCAAATCAGCCGATTTTCATGCTACCAAACGAGCTCTAAATATGCTACACTCTAAGTTTACATAATGGGAAATATAAATTTAATTCTGTAATTGAAGTGCTTTAGTAAAAAATATTAGGGCCTGTTTACTAACAGAGACAATTCTCTGTTTTCATTTTCTGTTTTCAAGTCTCCAGTTTTCTGTTTTCATTTTCCATTTTTTTGTTTTCCAAATCAGAAAACATGTTTACCAGAGATTTTCCATTTTCCATTTCATTTTTACAAGAAAACATTGACTAATATTTGGAAAAGAAATGCACAATTACAAACATTTGAAATAACACAAAAAAATAACATATATGTTCATCAACGCTGAAAGTTCAATAAGTGACATATAAAATTCGAGTGATCCATTTTCACCTATACTTTCCACCGTCTTAAATATCATATCATCTTGCTTGTACTCCATGAACAAATGGACATTCCTATCATCTTACTCATACTCCATGAATTTAATGACAATTCTTATTGCTGGCCAAGAAACAACTGTAGCTTTCCTTACTGGGGCTGTTTTTCTCCTAGCACAAGTATTCAAAAGGCTAAAGAGAAAAGAGCATAAGTTGTTGGGTTGGTGAAGGTGGAATCATACAGAATAAACCTTATTATCATCAAATAAGCATCGTCTCCATAATATTGATACAGAAGTTAAAAATTGCATCTCGAGACACCTGGTTTGGGAGAATTGCTCCACTTAAAGTTAATACTCTTGAAAGAAAGCAGAATAATAAAGCATCTATTTGTAAGCTATCACTAGCAACTTATTTTTAGTTTCTTAGTTTAATGACAATCTAACGTAAACAGTTCTGCCCTGCAATCTTCTTGGAAAGATTATCTTACACTCCGTAACTAATATGGCCTGAAAATATATTTTCCTCCAAAGTGTGTTTTTGGATGTAGCTAACAGACAGGTTAAATACACCCTTTCTTATCACATCACTACATGAGCGCATCAAATAAGAATAGAAACTAAGACCTTGTTTAGTAGGGTGAATTTGACCAGAAATTGCTTTAAGTTGCTGAAATGGTTGGTAAAAAATCTTATAAGTCAATAAAGTAGCTACAAAAAACCACCAAGTCAAAGCAGGAGCATACATATCCACCATTGGAGCTTGAAAGTTAAAAAAACAGAGAATTTCCGATTCTTGTCAAAAATCAGTTTTATATAATGGTTCATAAACATAAAACTGTGTAAAAAAGAGAACTATAATCAATTACTTGGAAACATTTTTATTAGGGAGTCAAACCAGCACATGTAGAGCCCGTTTGGTAGCATCAAAATCGGCTGTTTTGGCTGATTCTGCTGAAATTTATGATATTCTGGCTGGAGTGGCTGTTTTGGCTGATTCTGCTGATTTAAGAAAAAAAAATTAAAAATATATTTTATTAATAAATTAAAGAAAAAATTATATGTAAAAATAGCTAAAATGGTCCTCTACAGTAACTTCAGCCAATACAGCCAGAAAAGTAACTTCAACCTTACTTTTTCGGCTTATTACACAATTCAGCGCGCGAAAGTAAAAGTTACGTGCTTGGTGAAAAAGCTGGCTGATAAGCCTGATAAGCCGAAAACAGAGTTCTCCAAACGGGCCCGTAAACAGTTTTATATACTGGTTCAGAAGAGATACAAATCCTATGTAACCGTGCAATGATTCATTAACACCTATCAGGAATGCCAACAATTAAAAAATAAATAAAAGCTCAATTGGTCTTGAAAATGCTAGGAAAGTCAGATGGATAATGACTTCAATATAAGGAGGCTCCACACTTTTCTTTCTTCTCAAAGCACTGAAGCAGAGAAAGCCCTCACAAAAAACAAGTATGGGATGAACATTGCAAGGATCATAGCGGTAAAGTCCCATCACAGCTTTTGCACAATAGTTTTGGGCAATTTATTGACAAGTGAGTGGCTATAGAAATCAATACAGATATGAGTGAAGCATATAGAAAAGGGGTTGATAACCATTCAAACAGATATGAGTGAAGCACAGATAATCCAACACCCATTGATTTCCCAAGGGAATAAGTACAGACTAAGGCAGAATTTGTAAACAATGAAATAAAACGTAAGAATGAAATTCACAACTAGATTAGGCAGAGTGAAAATTCATGAATTTCAGGATTCCAATGGTATTGAGATTTTCAACAAGGCAAAGTGAGAATTCCATTTAATTTGAGAGCTTACCTTTAACTCGTTGACAGAACACGAGACGCCTGAAGAATTGGAGTTCCTGTGGCGTCGGGGTCAGCTTCTATAGCAGCGATGAATATTTTGTGAAGCTGGAGCCTGGTTGACATTTGAAGAAGTGCATCGATGGTCTTCAGGACAAAGCTAGGAGATGTAGACTATTTGGAGAAGCCGTGCAACATTTGGCGACAGCGACTATAATAGCTACGGAACAGAAGAAGTAAAGAGGGTAGGTGGGACGAAGGTAGGGTGCCTGAGGGAGAGTTGAAACTTGCAAGTAAAGAAGGTTGCCGAGAGGAGGGCGAGCGAGTAAAGACATGTTTTCTAAATCCTGAAAACACCTAAAAGACACTTTTCCCTTTTAGAAGGAAAAGGTGAAACATGTTTCATATTTTTCATTTTGAAAAATAGTTAGGTAAACACGTTTTCTAATTTTTCTATCTCCAGTTTTCTATTTTTTTTCAAAAAACAGAAAATACTTTTGTTAGTAAACAGACTCTTAGTATTTTAAAGTGTAAAAGATAACAAATCATAGGAACATTATTTGAAAATCAAAAGGATATTTTTTTCACAACAATGTTTGATGTACCCACTCTTATACCCACCTTATACCCACCATGTTTGTGAAGTGTTTTTTTCTGTGAACCTGATTCAGAGACAATATTTTGTTTGTGCAAAATATTGGCTGTGAACCGGGATTTACAGACAAGGAAAAAACACTTCACAAACATAGGTGGGTACAAAAGTGGGTATAAGAGTGGGTACAAACATCATTTTTATTTTTTTCAAGTTGATGTGTCTGATACGAAATATTTAATATCTTTAAAAATTTTACAAAGTCGAGTACTAATTATCTAATAAAATTGAGTTGAACTTTAGAAAACTAGTTTTATATAATAAGTGTCCTAATAAGTCTTAAGCCAATGAGTTATTTTATTGTTTATTTGTTCAAATAATGATAAATTATTTTAGATGTTTCTCCTTTTAAATCTTCCATTAAGTATGTAGTTTTACATAATGTCAGACTAAATTAATTTTGAAAATCAAAAGGTAAGGAAGACGACCCATATGTATTTAATTAAAGTATGAAATTTTATGCAAATATTATATACGCAGTATATAATAGAAATTTTTGAAAGTTCGCAATCATCCCTGAATCCGTCCCAACCTTGAAGCCATCCTTTAAACACTTCTAGTTCTTTTTTAAAAAAGGTGCAATGTTCAATTTCGCTTAAAATAAATGACCATGTATCGCTCTAAATGTATTTTAAAAATACAACAATACTTTATTCAGATCAATGTACACAATCACATAAGTTAATTATCATCTCATATCCTAGTAATAATTAAATAATAATAATAATAATAATAATAATAATAATAATATCACGTAGAGCTGTAATTGTGTTCACTGCCGGTGGACCCCCTTCATTCTTTCAGGGCTCCACAACAACTTTCCCAGTAGCATGTCCTTCAATGCTCTTAGCCCAAGCATCTTCAGCACTACTCAAACTATATTTCGAGTCAATGAAGCTTTTTAACTTCCCCTCCTTAACCAGCCCGACAAGATACTCTAAGTTGGCACTTTTGGGGGACAAAAGCAACGGCACCAGTTGCTTCTTTGACAATGTGAGTTTCTTGACGGCAAAGGTCCACATTGCTTTCGGGCCCGGGGTTAAGTCTATCACCTTCCCGTTCTCACTCAGATTAGGCTCGAAAGTCGACCACGGGATGCCCGTGGCACAGTGGATGACCGCATCGTATTTTTTGCCCGAAGGGCTCTTGAGAGATGCCCCTTCGGGGGTTTTATAGTCAATGACCTCGTCTGCCCCTAAACTCTTCACGAACTCGATGTTTCGGGCCCCACATGTGGCAGTCACGTGTGTGTTCCCCAGTTTCGCTAGTTGGACGGCATAGTGGCCCACCCCACCAGAGGCGGCAGTCACAAGGACATTCTTCCTTGGGCAGCTGCTGCTACCATCAAGCTTGATCCCAGATGCATCCACAAGGGCCTGGTGGGCTGTTAGGCCTGCAACTGGAAGGCCCGCAGCTTCAGCAGCTTGTACCTCGGGAGGCCTTAATGCAGTTAGGCTCTCTTTGGCCACAGCGTACTCTGCAAAACCACCTCCAATCTGTTTTCAAGCACGTAAAACATAATTGAACACATTATCACAATGAGTAGGAATAAAACTGTTGATGCCAATTTTAATTTTCCTAACTCTATAATTGCTAGTCGATAGGGCTATGTTTGGGCCTCGGAAGAATGCTATGAAAACGAAAGAGATTGTAAAGGGAATTTTATTTCCTTATGTTTGACAATACCTTAACAAATGTAAAGGAAAATGAAATATGATGTTTTTTTTATATGTTTTGATTTCTTTGTATTTATATAAGAGAAATAAGTCAAAAATAAAATTGAACGTACAGTAAAGATTGAGTGGAGATAAAATTTATTGAGTTTGAACTAATGTTTTATGTTCCTTCATATTTTCTCAAGTTACAAATTTCTCTTACACTTTCTTACAAAATTGTCCCTATACAATCATATTGGGAAAATTTGACTTTGCTCTCCATTTTCAAAATCATTAATGTGTGTACCCCATCAGCCCAAAAATTGTGAAGGAATGAGGTGCAAAGTATTTTGGGGACGTATGCAAAAGTATTCTTTGATATTTATTTTCTTCTTCGAAGAATGATACAAGGGGCTAGTAAAAATGTGTCATACGGGGTATTATAATTAAGAAAGAATAATACGACTTTTAGACTTTGTGATAAAGAAAATATGGCTAGTTTGTTTTATCTTCTTTTTTAAATGCAGTCTTATCCGTATCAATTTGTGGTCCGTGGTCACAATTACATGTGCAATGGTGTCGGTGACAGTGTATATTTTTCCAATTTTACTACCTGGTCCCCTTTTGTCCATATATAAATGCAATCACTTTTATAAAAGTGAGATTCAATATAGTGCAGAGTTATATTTACGGACTTTCCCCTTTACAAAGGCTTAGATATTGCTCGAATACACCTCTTCGATACGGTAAAAAAAGTGAAATTGCATCTGGCATACTTGTGAAACAATCATCCATGGTCCATGGCTTTCAAGATATTGTCATTGCCACTTCAAAGCCATTGGGGCAACAAACACTAAAATATAAATGAGTGAGCAAAAAAAGACTTTCAAAATGACTGAGCATAGCCACAACTTTGTCACCAGCCTTGAAATTCTTCACACCGGACCCAATCTCCATTACTTCTCCTGCTATATCAGTTGCTGTTTCCAGGCAGAGGAAAGACATATGTTTAAGTCAATCTAAACCTACACACTATACATTGATAAAATTCATAATTTGGATCATACCACTACTCGCTCAAAAAGGTCATATTGCATATTAGTCGTGGCACACTAAGACTTCGAATATAATCAATTACTACGTAGTTGGTATTCATATTACTCATAATCTTATAAGCCATGTGTTTATCTTTACTACTTCAATGTGGTCAACTGGGAAGTTTTATACAGAGTATCTGTTTAGTTGGTCATTAGCAATTGGACTCCCTTAAGGCCTAACCAGCCCATGTGTTTATCTTTAGTATTTTGAAGTGAGACTATCTGTACATTATGGTAGAGAAGTAAAATAGCACAAAAACTGTTCGCAAAGTAATCATTTTTTCTCCTGTTAAGAACAACTGCATAAGAAGGAACACCTTTATCAAATGGAGATCTGAATGTGTTGAGACTAACCAGGTATGTAAGGGAATTTTCCGGGCAAAAGAGGGCGTAGCATGCCCTTTTGGATTTTCCAATCAATTGGGTTTATGCTTGTAGCGTCTATCTTTAGCAAAACCTCACCTTTACTAGGAGTGGGCACTGCAACTTCAACATGCTGCAAAACACAATGTAATGATGTATATGTGTCAAAGAGTTTCAACATCAAATACCTACTCTCTCTAAGTAGTCCCTATCCCTCAATTACTTTCACATTCACTATTTCTGTGGCCAGCTTAACAATTTTTAAATATGTGATTTTATATACGTAGTATCATATTTGAATTTATTTTTTTCACTTCAATAGAACGTTTAGTGTAATTTCTAAATAAGCCAATTATTAATACTAATTTAAATATTTTTTAAATAAATAATTTAATATGGAACTGGGGGAGGACTATACTTCCTACACCCTGACTCAATCTGTTATATTCTAATCATTCACTACATAACAAATGCATTTCTTCAAATAACAATGGAGCATACCTACTCAGTTAGCTTGTACCCCGACTAAGGGAGTATTTGCAATTCTTTAAAAAAGTGATTTTTAAGTGATATTAGTGAAAGTGTTTAATAGTCAAAATTGGTAGTGTTTTAGAATAAAGTACGTTTGAAAAAGTAAAGGTTCGCGGTGTTTGGCAAAAAAAGTGATTTTTGTGTAATAGGAAAAGTGAAAAGCAGATTGAAGCACTCCTCCACCGTTCCTAGCATTTAGCTTTAAATGTTTAATTTAGGCAGGAGTGTCACCTGAAAACACCTATTACAGTTGTTTTTAAACCAAGAGCTGAAAAACACTTTTTTTAACTTTCAAACACTCCCTAAGCCGAGTAGGTACTAGGTAGCTTTTCGTTTACTTATTTGACTTACATGGAAGCTACCAAGTGCTTTACTTTCAGAAAAGTCACCAAAGTCAACTATTTCATCCAAAAAACTTACCGAAATAGGAATAGAGGCTTGGTGCATGCTACTCTCAGTCATATTCTGGTTTATATTGGGTTTCTAATAATAAAATCCAACATACAGTTCTATCCTGCTTTTCCTTGAATGGAAATATATAACCTCAATGTCATTCCATCCCTGATCAAAATTCTCCAATTGGGACTTATGAGTATCAATTAATTCACACCAGTATTATTTTCTGATGATCTTTTAAACCCAATTGTCGTACGATCGTATACCTAGAAATGGTTTTCCTCCAATTAATTAACTTAAATTCTAGTACGCGTCTCAATAAACTGTAGAAACAAACGGATTACAGGAATAGAAAAGAAAAACAACAAGAATTTCTACAACATATGAAGAAGGGCTTATGATGAACATTAGGACTTAATAAAATAGATAGTCAAACAATAATCCAAGCAACAATTTCGAACACACTGATTGGGGGCGGAAATTTCGAAGGGTATAGACGATGATAATACCTTCAGAGCAGCAGCACCGCCTCCATAACCTTCATATTGAACTGCCCGCATAAGCTTAATTCCAGCCATACGCGCATACGATAGATGTACAGAGTTTCACTTCTTCGCAGAAAATGTGGATTTCTTTATAGTGCGGAGGATATGGTTTTCATCTCCAAATAAATATCCGTTACCGCATTCTTGCTTTTTAAAAGAAGCATCAACCTTGGTTCAATTTAAAACGTAAAATTAGTAACTTTTTGGGTTGTTCTAGAATAATTGTCCCACTTTCTATTTTTAGTAACATTTTGTTGTGCAAATACATTTTTTTCTCACTTACTTAACCCTCATTTTAATCTCCTTTAATCTAAATCCATTTAATTCTGTATCCACTACATTAATTACTCTCCTCGTTCACGCCCCACCTCTACGTACTCTCCTCGTTTACTTCACCGGTTAACCTCTTCCGTTACCCATTTACTTCTCCACCGCTAAACCTCTCTCATTCTATCACGGTTCGTCTTCCTCATCATCAACCTCTTCTCACTACCTTACAGATCCTTACTCCGATGTGCCGGATACTCCAGACTAGGGGTGGAAACAGGCCAGGCCAGGCTTTCGCCTAAACAGGCCAGGCCTGTTTTAGAAAATATAGGCCTGAGCCTGGCCTGTTACCTGTTAAAGGCCTGTTTTTTCGGCCTGGGCCTGGCCTGTTTAAAAGCCTGGCCTGGCCTGAAGCCTGTTTACCGGGCCTGTTAAGAAAAAAATAAAATTTCAAAAAAAAATACAAAATGAAAAGTGAAAAATCCTTTTAATCCGGTATAAAATTTATTACCCCAAATATTCACTAAAAAGTCTAATAATACGTTAGTTTTGCTTTGGATGTCTAATAATACTGATGGAGTATATGGACTCCAACCCCCCGGTCTGCCGACTATTGGGCCTGGACAGCGGCCCACGCACGTTTAGCGGATTCATATTATTGTACATTATTGTTCAGATGTTCTAGATTAGCTTTTTATACTATCAGTCCATTTATGTAATCGGGTCTGTCAGGCCCATATTAGAGGCCCAGACCCGGATTTTCCCTATATATAGGAGGCTTGTAAACCAGAACTCAGACAACCAATATTCATTCACAATATACATTTCCTTCTTCTTCTTCTCCATTACCCTTCTTGATACTTGTTCAATCTCTCTTAGTTATAGATTATGGATATCAATTATCCAACAATGGTGCTCTCGTTGAGAGGTTTGAACAGAATCAAGTAAGAAACCCTCCTGCTTAACCAAAAACTCTACCAAAATCACAAAAATTCTCCCCAAAACTGTTCTAGAAAAGAAAAGTTAGAATTTCAATTTTTTCCAATCTGCGTGAATTGTTTCTCAGACAGTCTTATTGCACCTTGGCGTTGCTGGTCGCATATGGCTGCTCCACCTCCCGTCACGGTCCGGCCAAATGTAGCTCAAGCTGTAAGAAAATGCTCTGGAAAATCCAGAGGTATTCCGGCCAGGTTTTGGACGGCCAACCTGAGCAGCGCACAGTCAGAGGCCTCCTCTCGCCCTTAGCTTGCTTATACGCCTCCTTCGCAGCGCCATGGCTCTCTTTATGGCTTCATGGAAAATATCTGCCATTAATGGCTTACTGAAGCTCCTGGCCGTATAGATGCTTCAGCTTTGCACTTTTTGTCAAGCTCGTCGAAACTCACCAAGCGCAATTCCAGACCTCGTTGAAACTCGCATCCGTCACAAACTCACAACATCCAAAAAAATCATTCCAATCAGGAAAAATCCAACAAAATCGGTCCGATTTCTCCAAAAAAGAAGGAAATCTGGAAATTCACGGTTGAAGTAAGAAGCCCATGCATGATGGCATCTCCATCACATTCCGAGTTGTGCGCCACAGAGCCCCAATGCTCCAAGGACTGAGTTGCTGAGCCGGAGTGTTTCCGTTGGTGGGTACTACCAGCTAAAGTCTGCGTCCTCTGTCCCAGCGCCTCCTACCTCGCTCTGCCACCACGCCTGGACCACATAGCTCGAGGTCGCAGTTGTATCCCGGAGGTTGGAGCTATAAAAAAAAATCAGCTCAGGCCAAGGTTTGGAGCTCTGGATGACTTCGCCGGCTGACAATGGAGTTGAACGCATCCATTTCATCCTCAGGAATTAGGCCAAGGTCTCACAGCTGGACCCTTTCTCCGGCGGGCAGATCTACCTAGGCTCTTCTAACCCTCTGAGCTACTTACAACCATGACAGAGATTTGGGCAAGGTGTGACGCTCGAAACCTGCGAACCCACTCTGGCCTTCAGCAGGGACACTACTTTTCATTCTGCTGACGGTGATTGTAAGCGGTTGGCGACGATCTAATCCAGACCCCCGGCGGCGTCGAGGAAAGAGCTGCTCTCACCTAACGTTAGGTGCGGGAAATAAAAGCAAGCCACACATCATATCTGCCGACATCGTTTGAAGATGGCCCTCATAGAACATGGACTGTTTGATATCAAAAACTCCGTCGGAAGCATGGGCCAAGAGGGGAACAGTGGGTCACGATTATATGGAGCCAAAAATTGATCCTAAAAATGAATATGGACCGCGCAACACTAATCAACAACGTGGCTGTTAGTTTTTCACAAATTAGAATGAGCCCAAAGGAATCAGCTGGATATTATTCTTTCCAGTCAATCCAATATATTTCAGCCCACTTCAGAGAGATAAGTACCCATTAATTTTTATATTATTTATATTTATTTAAATCATTTCTTTGTCTGGTTAATGTCGCACTATCACGCACTTATGATCAAATGCCTAGTAGAGTGTGATTTGAGATCCATCACTAGGATTTAAAGCCCTGACTTCTCAGGCACAAAGCCCTGACTTCTCAGGCACAAAGCCCCGACCAAGTTGGGCACGAAGACCGGTCTTAGTCATTCCTCGAGTGGCGACCGTTGCTCACGAATGGCTCATACATCCATTCTACTAAGTATTTAATCATTACATTAACAATTCACATCTCCACTTGTTTCGAGTAATGAACTCCCGATCGGAAATATTAATCCCAAGAAGAAGATTTTATATATATATGATAAATGTGCAGGTACAAATATGACTTTACTCAATTTCACCCCGTCTCCACTTGCCTCAAAGAGTGGGGACTGAGGGACTGAGGGGTCAGAGTTTATAGATGAGCAGAAAATATCACGCATAAGCAGGAACAAGAGCTGAGTCGGTTGAAGAGGAGCTGAGCTAGATTGATTATGTCGGAAGGGACTTACCTTCCTTGTTTAATGTTTGGGGGCACTAGGTGTACTCTTTTTCCCTTTATTAGGATTTTTTCCACTGGGTTTTTTCCTAGTAAAGGTTTTTAACGAGGCACCTTCCCATCCTGGACAAGGGTGGTGGTCCCCGAAACCAAAGACAGAAGAACGTTGCAGACACATTTTGGACTACTCCCTTTCGCCTCGAGTACTCTCGACTCAGGGAGTGGGGGACTCCTGATGGAGTATATGGACTCCAACCCCCCGGTCTGCCGACTATTGGGCCTGGACAGCGGCCCACGCACGTTTAGCGGATTCATATTATTGTACATTATTGTTCAGATGTTCTAGATTAGCTTTTTATACTATCAGTCCATTTATGTAATCGGGTCTGTCAGGCCCATATTAGAGGCCCAGACCCGGATTTTCCCTATATATAGGAGGCTTGTAAACCAGAACTCAGACAACCAATATTCATTCACAATATACATTTCCTTCTTCTTCTTCTCCATTACCCTTCTTGATACTTGTTCAATCTCTCTTAGTTATAGATTATGGATATCAATTATCCAACAAATACATTATTATGGAGTATTATTAGGTAGTTTATAAATTTCTATGTACTTTGATTCTTGAAAAACTTTGAATTTCAATTACCTTAATAAACTATTAAAACACTTTATATATATTTAAAAAAGTAGTCTATTCTAATTTATAATACACTCCCTAAAAATACTATTATACTGATTTGGATATAGTTGAGTATACCAATATAAATATAAATAATACAAATAAATATAAATATAACTATATATATATATGTACACACATATAAATAGGCCGGCCTGTTAAGGTAAAAAGGCTTTAGAGTTGGGCTAGGCCTGGCCTATTTAAATAAACGGGCTTTTAGAAAAGCCCAAGCCTAGCTTGATTACTAAACAGGCCAGGCCAGGCCAGGCCTTTAACAGGCCAGGCCACAGGCCCCTGACAGGCCGGCTAGCCTATTTCCACCCCTACTCCAGACGAATTTACTGATTCATACTTGCATGTGCTTGATACGCCTGCCCCTTACTTCGATGGGGTTGATACGGCGACAGAGGAAGAAAGGCGCCTTCAAGCCGTACGTCGAGGTGCAGAGACGGTGTTGAAAATAATACTTCCCCAAGTGAAGGTCGGATCAGCGTCTGAAAAGGCGTTGGTGAAGACTAAAGGAGATGTGGAGGGTGTTTAAGTGGAAAGAATGAACATGCAGTGTTCGATAAGTCATCTACTCTTTGTATTTTTTTTACTATTCTGTGGTAGTATGTTTTTCTGATTTCTTGAGAATGAACAATCTGTAATGTATTGTTTGTTGTGTTGCTCTTTGAATTTGATGGTATCTGACACTGCTTTTTGAATTAAATGATGATTTTTTTTTAGAAATCATTATTCCTTGTCATTAATCATACCTCTCTGATCTGATCCTGTGTTCATATGGTTGTGACAACACCTTTGAGATTTGATATTTGGCTACTATATCTGTGATGACACATAATTCGGATCTGAGAATGCGTTTGTATGTCTGTGAGTACACTTGTTTGTAATATGAATTTTTGTTGATATGACTGTGATGACGGAACTTGTGATCTGAGATTTGGGTAGCATATCTATAATGACACATATATGTGATCTGAGATTGTGTGAGCATTTCTGTGATGACACTTATTTGTCATTTGAGTTTGTGTTGATATGGCTGTGATGACACAACTTTGATCTGAGATTTGGCTAGCATAAATGTGATGAATATGTGCGATCTCATATTGTGTGAGCATTTCTGTGATGACACTTGTTTGTGATTTGATCTTGTGTGAGCTTGTGAGTGATGACACTTTTTCGTTATCTGAGCTTGTGTTGATATGGCTGTGATGACACAACCTTGATCTTATATTTGGCTAGCATATTTGTGATGACACATATGTGTGATCTCAGATTTCGTGAGCATTTCTGTGATGACACTTGTTTGTGATTTGAGCTTGTGTGTGATGACACTT